AGAAAATAAAACTTCCTCTTCTAGCTTCAGCTTGGCCGAACCACTATGGTTCATTTTCTAAAAATTACAACTTTGATTCTATGGCTTCCAACACTTGTTCTTTAGGTTTATCCTATACCATTTTTCATTTTGAACACAATGAAAGCCTCAAAAATTTGAAAAACACATCCTAGCATCCAACTCTTGCCTTGGCCGAATTGGTCCTCATGCAACATAACAAAGAAAACACTTCAAAATCAACTTACAACCACTTGAAACCGCTAGGAACTTTCATGCTTTGAAGTGTTCTACTAAGTTTTAACAACCAAATTTCCTTCCCTACTCAATAAACATTTTGGCCAGCTTAAGAAAAAGGGAAGAACCAGAAATTTTAACCATACAACTCAAGCAAACAAGGCAAGGAACAACTTAGAATCAAAAACTAACTTTGGATCTTGGTTGGATGATCAAAGTTGGTGCCTTTCCTCTTGATGTCTCCTTGAACTCTCTCTTTTACCTCTTAGTTTGCTCTTGGCTGAAAATAACATCTAATTTAGGGGGAGGAAGAGCTTAATTAATGCACCAAAATATCCCAACCACCATCATAAATGAAAAGCCAAGTGTCACCTTCCTACTTAGTCTTGAAACTTCTCTCTTTATTAAGTAAATCATAATGTAATTAGATTCAAAGTCAAGATCCTCTTCACTTAATGCTTGACACTTGGAAGGCTTTAATTACTCTTTAATAGAGGCTTGACAAATGGCAACTTTTGGGCCAAGTAAAGTGCAAGACTCTAGTCTTCACTTTATCGGTACACTTTTACTAGGAGTTTAATTTCTTTTCTATAATGACAGTACTCTGGACTTTATAATTATTTTCTGTCAGATCCATAAATTATTCTCCTCATTTTTCTGTCAGCCCTCTCTATCTCAAACTCAATTTTTCATTAATTAAATAAAAAGGAAAACTATTTTCCTTCTCATTATTGATTTTTCCATTTGTCCAAATAATTAGGAAAAATCTTGGATATCTGAGGGTCTCTTTTTAATCCCATAATTTTTTATAATTTCTTGGGACATCATAGGAATTTTTTTGGGATTTTATTCTCCTTCCTAATATTTATTTGGAATTTTCCAAATAAAAGGCCTTAAACTAGCTTAAATCGCCCTTAAATTCCTTTGTAATTTCTAAGGGCAATTTGGTCATAAAACTAATTTTATAATCCCATGTAATTCTCAAGTAACATTGTCCTTATTTTTTCTTAATTTTCTAAAGTTTGAAAATATTTTTCTATAATTATTCTTGAACAATTTTCCTTAATTAGTCAAATTTTTCATAATTGACTTGGAAAATTATAATAATTATTTTCCACCACAAATCTTCTATTCCTCCTTATCCTTTTTGGCCCTTGAATACTTAGAAATATCTTTATTCCTAATTGTCATATTACTAGATGTGACAAAATCAATTTAAATAATTTAATCAAACACTTTAATTTAAAACCCTAACCCTTTATGAACTTAGATTTATCAAAATCCAACTCCGCTCCTTATTTTTCTTTTTGGCCGAGAGGTACCCTTTAGGGTTTTAAAATTCTATTTTCAATTTTAATGGTTCCAAATACATGTTCTTCACATAACCTTACACAAATTCACCTTCTAAACTCATTAAAAGCATCAAAATAATAAAAGATCAAACCTTATAATAGGAATTCATCTCTAGCAAAACATAGTCTCAAGTTTCACTAATTGAAATTCTTCCCAAAACAAGGTTTAAACACCATCAATCAACCATTTTCTATTCTTCAATCCATATACAGACTTTGAATCATTCATGTCTCATTATAAACCAATTTGGGCAGCATCTATACCTAGGGGTTCCAACCTCTAAACTCCATCAAAATCATGTTTAAAACCATTAATCCATAAAGCATCACAGACTAGAAGGAAAACTAAGCCCTTACCTTGATCTAGGAGTTGAATCCACCCAGGTTTAGCTTGCTCTTCTTCTTCTCCTTCTTCCTTCTCTCTTGGCTAAAATGGTCTCCTCTCCTTTGCTCTAAGTTGGCTGAAAAATTGGCTAAGGAAGAGAGGAAAGGGTATATAAAAAATTAGACGAAATTATTACCATGTGGTAACTTTGATTACTATTCATTTTTAACCTTAGACACTTGGCATCATCTTAGACCTATATCGCCTATGATCTTGCCACATAATCCTCATGAGGTGTCCCTCTCATTGAATGAAGATGCCACCTCATAGGACATCTCAAAAACCACCTAGCATGCATGTGAGAAAAATCACAATTTTTTTAATTCATAATTCCATTCTTCCAAGCCTAACTTTCAACAAATTGTACTATTCCACTTAGTTCTTCCCCCCTTACTTGGTGCCAATCCAACTAAAAAATTGAAGAAAAATTTTGTCCCACCAAGCTTATGATTATAATATTGTATAATATCACAATATCGGTTGAAGTTTTCTTAGATTCTGTTAAATCCACTATTTCTAAAAATTTATTTCTTTATGCTAATAACTTCTTTTTAATAAGAAAAGGTTTTCCTAATTTTCTCATATTTTATTTTGCCTTATAACTCTTTTAATTAAAATTTTCCCAAAATTAGCCTTTTACTAGTATAAATCAAATTTAAATATTTTAAAGCTAATCTTTGCATACCTAAAGGCCAGGAACAATTTTAAAATTCATAATAATCTTTCAAATGATTTATCTCATTTTTTTTCATGAATTATTGAGGCCTCTACATATTTTAAGTAATTCAATTTGTCCAATTTTTTCTTATTGAGCCAAAATTTCATGAAATTGCATAAAATTCCAAAATAAATTATTTTCATGTCGTTTTTATCTTTTAGGCCTCAAATACTATCCTAAACCCTTTACTCTCTTTTTTCATAATTTTTTGAAATTTTTTTGGAATTTTGGGTACAATTTCCCAGTTTGCTTATCTTGACTGGATATTTTAAAAATGACAACTTGTTTAAGAGATAAAATATAACAAAGGTATATCTTTTTTATTAGAGGTTGAATCGATCATCAGAAGAAGAATTAGGCCCAAAATTAGGATACATCTTGGGAAAATAAAACTTCCATAGAAGAGAAGCAAATGAAAGGCTTTCATAACAATTCTCATAGAATCGAGAATGAAGTTTTCATTCTGTACATGCCATATCATGAATTAGTAACTGCATCCAATCTCCGAAAAAAATCCCAATTGTTTCGAATTTTCTCTTTTTGGACTGGAATATTTACAGAATCCCCATAAATAGGACCAAACCTTATTCCATGGTATTTACATAGGATTCCTCTTTCTTATTCTTAAGCAAGTCCCTGAGAGGGCTTAGTGGATCCATGATTTATGTTTCATCTTTCATTTCCTTTTTATTTGTTTTGAGAGAGATATTGATCAATTTTGATTCTTTTTCTATTAATTCTTTTCCGATCGAGATGTATGGATCCATGGGTCTTTGTGTCTATTTAGCTCCTGTTCATGGATTAACGAAAATGTGCAAAAGCTCTATTTGCCTCTGCCATTCTATGAGTCTCTTACTTTTTGCGTATGGCAGCGCCATACCCTTTAGTAGCATCCACTAATTTAGAACTTAATTTGAAAGCCATATTTAGACCTGAACATTTTCGGGATGCCCCTAATAACCAACAAATGGCAGGTCCTTTCCCTTGTGTGGATCCTATTTCAATGGAACTTGATGAGTCGATCCGCCCACACGTCTTGCTTTGACTGCTATATCGAGAGTTACTCCACGTCTTGCTTGACGTAAAACAAATAGTGGATTTGTTTCTGTCTTTTGTTAAACTTTCTCATGGCTCAATAGATAATTTGATAAGCCAATGATTTTTTTTTTTGTGTTTCAGAATACGGTTAGCCAACATGTTAACTAATCGATTACGATAAATTGAATCAAATTTTGTGGTTTTTTCATTTGCATTACCTCGACATGACATGAGCATGAAAGGAGTTCAAGAATCTGTTTTCTTTTTACAAGGGCTAAAATAATTTATTTTGGCTTTTTGACCCCATATTGTAGGGTGGATCTTGAAAAATATGAAAGATCTCCCTCTAAGCTATACATATGACTTTCATCAAATATGACTTTCCATAGAATTCTATATGTATTTGTGAGATTGAGTATGGAATTCTGTTTATTCACTTGAAATTGAGTATTTGTTTCCCTCCTTTTCCTGCTAGGATTGGAAATCCTGTATTTTACATATCCATACGATTGAGTCCTTAGGTTTTCGAAATAGTGTAAAAGGAAGTGCTTCAAATTGTTACTATTTGACTTGGACCTGTTCTAAAAAAGTTGAGGCATTTCGAATTGTTTGTTAACATAGACAAAGTCAAGGAAAACCTCTAAAATTATTTCAATATTGGATCGTGGACATATCATAGTTCCAAATCAAATCTCTTTAGAAAGAAGATCTTTTGTCTCATGGTAGCTTGCTCCAGTTCCCTTACAAAACTTTCGTTATTGGGTTAGCCATACACTTCACATGTTTCTAGCGATTCACATGGCATCATCAAATGATACAAGTCTTGGATAAGAATCTACAATGCACTAGAATGCCCCTGTTGACGATCCTTTACTCCGATAGCATCTAGGATTCCTCAAACAATGTGATATCTTACACCGAGTAAATCCTTAACCCTTCCCCCTCTTACTAAGACTACAGAATGTTCTTGTAAATTATGGCCAATACCAAGTATATAAGCAGTGATTTCAAATCCAGAGGTTAAGCGTACTCTGGCAACTTTATGTAAGGCAGAGTTTGGTTTTCTAGGAGTGATAGTGGAAAAGTTGACAGATAAGTCACGTTTACTGCCACTCTACAAAACTGTACATGAGATTTTCACCTCATATAGCTCCTCATTCAATTCTTTCAAAGTCATTGGATCCTTTTCCTTGTTCGAGAATCTCCACCCTTCTTCTACTCTGTCCCGAAGAGTAACTAGGACCAATTTAGTCACATTTTCATGTTCTAATTGAACACTTTCCTTTTTTGATTATTCTCAAAGGAGAAGATTATTCTTTTTACCAAACATATGTGGTTCCAATCACGATCTTCTAATAAGAACAAGAAATCTTTCTCGATCAATCTTTTTGCCCTCATTCTTCGAGAATCAAAAAGATCCTTTTCAATCAAGTTTGAATTTGTTCGTCTGGAATCTGGCCCATTTTCTCATGGAGCGAAAGGTACGAAATAAATAACATTGATTTTCTAATCAAAAGTACTATGTGAATGGTTTTCCTCTCTCTCTCTATCCCTATCCCGCAGGTATAGTGTTTGAATCAATAGCGAACCCTTTCTTCTGTATCTGTATGAATTGATATTATTACATTCTAATTCCTTCCCTATACCTCCCAAGGAAAATCCCGAATTGGATCCCAAATTGACGGGTTAGCGTGAGCTTATCCATGTGGTTAGGCACTCTTCGAATAGGAATCCATTTTCTGAAAGATCTCGACTTTCGTGCTTTGGTGGGTTTTCGAGATCATTTTAATGACCTATGTTGTGTTAAAGGGATATCTATATGATCTAATATGATCTGATCGATTGCTTAAAGCCCGCGGTAGCAACATATTCAGGGAGAGTATACAGAAAAGATAGTTATTATATTAGTATTAGATTAGTATTAGTTAGTGATCTCTATTTACCTCTATGGAAAGGATGATTCATTTGGATCGACAAGAGAGTTTAACCACATTGCATTGCCAAAGCCCATGTTGTATATTTGAAAGAGGTTGACCTCCTTGCTTCTCTCATGTTACAATCCTCTTCCCGTTGAGCTCCATTTCTTCTCGGTCCATAGAGACAAAATACAAGACTGGTGCTAACAGTTCATCACGAAAGAAAGGACTCGGCTCTTTAGACTATTGTAAATCTTTTTTAGACTATTATAATTAGATTGGATGTTGTTTAATGTTGAATTATCTATATAAATATATCAGTTTTGAATCCTTGTGGTCAATTGATTGTCAATGATCATTGATAATTAATTTGTTTACTTGGTATTCTGTGGTTGTTGGTTGACGATCTTTGAGGCATTTGCATCATCCATTCAATTACACTCTAAGTGGTTTTTAACAATGTTGTAAGAGGTGTTAATTAACTTCAATCAAAATAAGTTTTCATTAATCAAAACATTGGACCCAAGTGATTGCTTGGGGTTTTTATCAGACTTAGAGATTTCTAAAACTCCCATATCAATTTAAGATGATAGCTAAATCTTCATCATCAAGAGTCCATCCCATTATACTTCCCCTTAAATCCAAAGCATTCCTTCGTTTATTTAAAAGACTAAAAAGAGTTACTTTTTATGCATTTTACTTTTTTTACACCACTGTTTTATCAATTCAAAGCCCCCTTTTCTTTACCCAAATTAACATGTTTTTGATAACCAATCTAGTCTAGGATTTCCAATAAAGCACTCATTGAGAAGAATGCTTGGTTGTGCCCTATACTGCATTTTTTGGTGCAATCCCTTTCTTGATGACCTGAAAGGCGACATTCCGATCTGATCAATGGTGCCATTGCTGAGGAGCCAAGAAATTGGTTCCCTAGTAACTGGTTGTCAATACCATTGTGATTTGGGTCGACTCTTATTGAGCTTTAGTTTTTAAATCTTAAATTTTGTATTTTGTAGCATAAAATTTTTTTGGAAATAGAAACAAATATCTTGTTTTTCTATACTTTTGTATTTGTACTCTTATATAGCATTTTGCATTTGTTTAAACTTGATCCTGAGTGTTTAGCCATTTGCTTGAAGGTTTTGAATTTTTGCATAGTTTGTAGAGCGTTTGGTTGAAAAACTTAGTGAATTTTTAAAAGCTTTTGCAAAAATAGCTCTCTTTGATTTCAAGTCGTGACTTCAGTTTCCCAAGTCACGACCTCAGTTGCTCAAGTCATGGCCTCAGTTGTTCAAGTCATGACCTAACTTTTGGCTTGTCACGACTTCAATTTCTTATAGTTCAGGATTGCTCTCTGTGAACTCACATCGCGACCTGGATATCCCAACTCGTGACTTGAGTTGGTTTTTTATTGAAAATTTTTCTGTCTTGCTCCTTTTTGTATAGTTTTGCTTTCCGCACATACGTTAAGAGTGTATAGCACTTGATACACCTCAAACTCGTTGAGCATTATTTGAAATCATTGAGTTTGTCTCAATTTTAAACTACACACTTGGTAAACACAACAGTTTTGATTGGAACTCCTTCTTGAACTCTACTTGTGTGTGAATTTTAAGTGGTTGGGCATGCCTAGAGTGTGTAGAGGCAAGAGAGGTAGAGACACAGCACCCCGTAGCATACTTATCTTACAAGACCAACCCCATTCATCTAGTGAGAGTGAGGAAGTAGAGGAGGAAATCATGGTTGAAGTACCTCCTAATGATGCTAATGATGGGAATAGGAATGGCAATCATAATATGTCACACCTTACTATCAGATCCACTTAGAGTTTAATTAAAATCATTTTAGACCACATTGAATGGTCTTGGGTTCAAAATCCATAAAAAACACTGATTTTCGAATTTTTACTGTTCATCGGGTAAAAATCCAGTTTTCTGGCCCAAATTCAAAAATTCATAACTTAATTTAGAAAAATTAAAGTGGAGTGGTTCAAAATTCTATAAAAATATATTTCAATGCTATTTCAAGGAAAAATAACCTAATGAACAAATTCGATTTGAAAAATTGTCAGGTTTTTGTGAAATTCACCTCTATCTATTTGGCAAAAATCCTTTTTCCAGATTCTGAATGTTAACTTTGAAAAATCATTAAAAATCGGGTAGTTGGCCATGTTTAACGTGATTCCTATCAATTTGAAGCTCAAGACGTGAAATTTAAGTATACCAAATTTCATGCAAGAATTCGTTTGTTAACTAAATAAAACGTGACTCTAAACTGACGTCCTACTTAGGGATTATAGCACCAACCATAGATACTTATACATAACCAAATGTCCACGAATTTTTATGGTGTGTCACCATAATTTAGCCTCCAATCTACAGCTTGCTCTTGGGAGTTTTAGGCCCTAAAATGTTAGATTATATTTGGGGGATGAGATTTTAAGAAATCCCAGTAGCAAGATCAATCAACCAAAACATTAACATGCATCAATTACAAGCATTTCAACCTTTTGCTATTAATAGGAACTACTTTACCTCATACATGTGGCACTCTAACATGCAATAGCCAAGGCACATAAATCAAGGAGTATAGCTACACAATCATCATCATCATTATTATTTAGTTCAACCATATAATAGCACATGAAATTGCATAGCAATCAATACAACACTCAACATTAAGGTTAATTAAATCTTACTACCTTAATCCAATGCTCTTTGATTTTCTTGTTCTTCTTTCTTACTTCCACAAATTCCAAACCCTAGTATGGAAATCCACAAAAAGTGCAGCAAGAATCATCAACCATCTCACATAAGAATCAATAACATAACTCAAGTAATTCCTAAACCCCTTAAAGCTTCAATCTTTATTCTTGAATTTTTAGAGTTAGTTTCCATAAACCCTAAAAATTCCCTCTTGACTCATTTCTACATAATTTTTCATGTAGATTTCAAATATCTACTTGGATTTAACAAAATAAATTTCCTTCTTTCATTTCAGCTTGACTGAACCGTTAGGGTTCCTTATCCAAAAATTTCAACTTTGATTCTATGGCTTCCAATACTTGTTCTTTAGGTTTACCCTACACTATTTTCTATTTTGAAAACAATGGAAGCCTGAAAACTTTTTAAAACTCATCCTAGGGTTCAGATCTTGGTTTGGCCAAAATGGAACTCAAGCAACATAGCAAAGAAAACACTTCAAAATCAACTTACAACCACTTGTAACCACTAGGATCTATCATGCTTTGAAGTGATCTAGCAAGATCTAACAACCAAACTCCCTCCCCTATATAAGAAGCATTTCACCCAGCACTCAAAGAGGAAGAGAACCAAAAATTTCAACCATACAACTCAAGCAAACAAGGCAAGGAACAACTTAAAACCAAAAACTTACCTTGGATCTCACTTGTATGCTTAAAGTTGATGCCTTTCTCCTTGGTTCTCCCTTGAACTCTCACTTTTCCCTTTTCTTCTTGCTTGGCCAAAACATTGATCAAATTTAAGGGGAAGGATGAGCTCATTCAATGCGCACAAAATATCCCACCAATAATTAATGTTATGCCATAAAAGCCTACTTAGTCTTAATGTTATGCCATATGTTCAAAAGCCTACTTAGTCTTAATCCTCCTCTCTTAATTAACTTAAATCATAATGTAATTAAATTCCAAAGTCAAGATCCTCTCCATTGGTAGCTTAATACTTGGAAAGCTTTAATTACCATCCATTGAAGGCTTGACAAGTGGCAACTTATGGGCCAAGTAAAGTGCAAGACTCTGATTAATACTTTATCGGTGCACTTTTACTCCAGGTTTTAATTCTTTTCTATAATTACAGTGCTCTGGCCTCTGTAATTATTTCTGTCAGATCCATAATTATTCTCCTCATTTTTATCTTCCCAAATTGCCCTCTTTGTGTCAAATTTAATTTCCCAATAATTAAATAAAAAGGAAAACTATTTTCCTTCTCTTTAGTGATTTTTCTTCTTTTCAAAGGAATTGGGAAAAATCTTGGATACTTGAGGGTCTTCTTTTAATTTCATAATCTCTTATAATTCCTTGGGATATCATAGAAATTTTCTTGGGGTTTTATTCTCCTTAAAAATATTTATTTGGAATTTTCCAAATAAAGGACCTTAAACTAGCTTAAATCGCCCCCTTAATTCCTTTGTAATTTCTAAAGGCAATTTGGTCATAAAACCAATTTTATAATCCATATAATTCTCAAGGAACATTGTCCTTATTTTTCCCTTAATTTTCTGAGACCTAAAATATTTTTCCATAATTATTCTTGACTAATTTTCTTTAATTAGTCAAAATTTTCGTAATCGACTTGGAAAGCTATAATAATTATTTTCTATCAAACTTCTTTATTTCTCCTTGTCACTTTTGACCCTTAATTATTTAGGAATATCCCTATTCCTAAATGTCATAT